TCTCAACTGAGTTGTTTAGGTTCTGGAATTCCATCTCTAGTTGGGGGTTTCGGTTCGAAGGTTAAAAAATGTGGTGCGGCTCTCTCGACCTGTTCAGGTTCAAAGGAAAGGGTGATCGAGGGGACCCAGACTTTCTATCTCTTCTCTATGGTTATGGTGGGAGGTTTTTTTCGTATCTTCAGTGTGTTGGGGAGGCCAGGGAAGACGGATTGGATCGAGAGGCGATGCCTATGCCTCTTCTTTATCATCGATAGAATTCCCATCATTTGCAGTCTACGGCGAAGGAGACAAGGATAACCAGCATCTTTTCCATCTGCGGGATAAACTACCGAACACCTTAACCGGTGAACTCATATCTACCCGAGACAGTACTCGATAACCAGCCCCTTTCAGGCGAAAGGCATTAGTCTTGCGCCTAAGTCCTAACACACTGAAGGCGTTCGCTGAGAGCGCGCTATACGCTAAAAGAACATTTGCCAAACTGACCGGGCTACAATCCGATCGGGTTGACAAATGGTTATTCACTATGAAGCGGTTAGCGAACTCGCAGGTACCATTATGGGAGATGAGGGATTTCTTCATATTAATTACCCCTCCTGCTTCTTCCATAATGTCCCTGTAAGCAAGGGCTACCGCCTCATTGGCGATGACCAAGTCATCACCAAGGATAGCGTAGTCCCAGAATCGCTTCATCGGCTTTACCCGATAGGCTGCATGCCACACTAACATATGATGTGTTAGCGTGAACAGCGGCCACGATGAGTAGTAGCCCAGAGGTTGGCCCCTAGTAAAGCGGTATACCCTCGCTTTCTTCGGGTTTCGGAGTTTTTCCGGGGATCTAAAAGCGGTCTCGTTCATTATGTCGAACCAGACACACCCTATTTCCTCACCGAAAAGACCCTTCAACATACTCCCAGTAAGATTTTTAGGGAGCATGTCCGTTGCGGCCTTCAGGTCGAAAGAGTATAACACTTTCTTTCCTTTCAGCCGGTGCAGGGGTCGTAGTTGATCGAAAGTTCCATCAGTTCGTATCGTCTTAAGAACTGACATAGCCCAATCATGGAAAGGTTTCACCAACCTTTGCAAGATCGGGTTAGGGATAGCGAACACCCGTACCTTACCTGCACCCTCGAGCTTTAAACCAAGACGCCCGGACGGAGGTCGTGTCTTAACTGAATCCCACCACACCTTTTGGGCGGGCTCGATCAAGTTTTCGATTAACGATCTACACATGCGTGACCCGATGCTGCTTTTAGGAACTGGGTTCTCGTAACCACAGTAGTACCGGTCCTCTCCCTTGGGCTTCTGGAGAGGGACATGTACCCGAGGTCAAAACTATCGAGCCATGTTCCGACAAACGACAGCATTTCTGGCTTCCACAGAGTAAGTAGAGCCGTGGCATCGAGTGGCAAAGTATGAAATACGGTTAAGCCATATCTCTTCTTTGACACACGGTGCCGACGATCCCATTTCTCCTTTAGAGAACCAAAAGCCGCACCTACTCGAGCCTCAGAGAGGTTCTTAGCCGGTGTTAGGGCCGGAAGTGAACACAGGACTTCAATCCGCCTTTGACTATGGTTCAGGTGTCAAATGTCAATGGTAGCTTGCTTCCAAGCCTTGCCTTATATAAGAGAATAGTTATGGCCATGGCCCATCGGCAAAAATGTTCAATTTCCTTCCCAAGCTCCCAAACCTCTCCTCGGATTTATAGTCGTTCGATTACATTGACCTTATTCGGCATGTCCTTAACACCATGCCATTATATTTACTTATGGTTCTTAATCCCCCAAAGTTGATCTTACGCAAATTGGAAGCTATGTTCTCCTCCTTCTTCTGGGGATATTCGGAGTATGGAGATAAGCGGCATTGGGCTTCATGGAAACGGTTGTGTCTCCCGCTTCGCGAAAATGGACTCGGCATCAGACGACTTTCTGACATCTCGCTTGCTTTCGCAGCTAAGCTTTGGTGGCAATTTCGGACGCAGCCTTCGCTTTGGGCTTCTTACTTGCATGGTAAGTACTTCCATCGCTTATTACATCCAGCCCAGTTCTTTGGTTGCCCTAAAACGGCTTCGCCTACTTTTCGTCGTATTTATGCGATCATCCCTCTAGTTGAACCCCATATCCGCGTTCGAATACGAGAAGTAAATTGCAATCTTTGGTTGGAGAACTGGACCGATACTGGTCAATTTAATCGAACCTTACATCTGAGAATATGTCATGGACTGTGCGGGATCTTCTTTCTCAGCCTCATCTTCACTCGAGTCCATTCTATGAACATGCCTTCAC